TGTGGTGGTAAGGAGGACAATCAGGGCTTTAGAGTGGTCAGGGACATGGTGCTACCCATGTTATGCCGTGGTAACAAGTTTACCGTTGTGTGTGACAACTTCTTCTGTACGTTAAGGTTGTCACACTACCTTGCTTCATGTGGGTGCCAACTTTTGGGAACCATGAGGATTAATAGGAAAGAACTTCCTGACAAAGCCAAGGCAATCAAAGGGAGAACTCCCGATACCACCATCTTTTTCTCGAAAGGAAAGTGTAAGCTCATCTCTTACTTCAACGAGAAAAAGAAACTGGTATTGGTCTTGTCAACCTGCCACGAAAAGAATGAAATTGAAGTCGTCAAGCAGGATGTGTTCATTGGCAAAAAAATGACAATACACAAACCCCAGCCCATCCTTGATTACAACCACAAAATTGGTGGGGTTGACACTGTGGATCAGATGACCAGGTATTATACGTGTAGACGTCGAACAAACAGGTGGAACATCAGGGCTTTATATGATATGATTGATATAGCTGCCTTAAACGCATATAAAACGTACTCAAATTACCACCCTTGCAAATGAGTGGATTTTTTGAACAATCTTTCTGGTGCTTTAATGAAAATGAAATGATTTTTCTATTTTGTTTGGTTTTTTATAAAGTAGGAACTGTTTATTTCATTCAATACGTGCTTTTTTATTGAACCTCGAAAAAAATTATCGTGAAATAAAATAAAAATAGGGGTCATTATACCATTTTTTTTCTTTTTTACTTATGGATAAGTTTTTTAAAACTTGTGTTATAACAACATCGTGATGTCGTTACTCAACACCATAAACAACCGTTGGTAAAGTATATGCATGAGTATTATGGTGATAATGGTGTTATAATAATGTTTGTTGATAATTCTATCAAATTGTAAATTTATTATTACAAAACTATAATTTATTAAATTTCCATTTTAATAAATAATATTTTTTATTATATAATATAGTTCAAAATATTTTTTTATTATTTGTTAAGTTTTTTGCTATTTGTTTTTTTGTTTATAATTTCTATTATCCCTTTATTTTTAATTTAAATTATTTGTTTGTTGCCCAAAAATGCATAATTTAAAAATGCATAAACAGTGAATGCAAAATAAGCATTTGATTACCATATACAATAACATTTATATGAAAATGATAATATCAAATCAATTTTGCCCTTTGTTTTTGTTTGAAAATGATAAAAAAATAAAATAACAAATAATGAATTCATATCTTGCTTCTTTGACAGTGGCACGACTTGAAACCCAACAGGTGACCATAAAACCTCATGGTGATCAAAGTTTATACAAACGCGACTATATTGACTGTTTAAGTCATTTTCGAGAATTTTTCTCGATTTTGTGATTTTTGATACTTTTGAAAATGTATTTTAGATATTTTTTGTTTATTTTATACTTATGTTCTCTAAGATTTTTTTTTCAAAGTCGGAACAAACAAAAGTGTCTTTTCGTCTTATCTTTTTGTATCATAAAAAAATAGCAAAACCCAATTTTTTAAATTATTGTATTTTTCAAAGTTTACAAAAAAATCTATTTAATTTCCCTTGTAATTGTTTTTGAGATCAATTGCATATTGAAATTTCAAGACACCTCAAAGTCTATGCTTTATTATTTTTTCTTTGTTAATTTATGATGTAATTGATTTTGAATATTCCAGACCAGTATGTTTTATGATGCAATTTGGTCTTTGTTATATTTTATAATTAATTTTATTATTGTAATAGGTTGTGGACATCTCAATAAATTTTTGATCTGACTTTTCCATTGAACTGTGACTTGTTTCTGAAAGGATCAAGCAAAAAAGTGAACCTTTGTTCATCCCAACTTCAACAAAAAATTCACTTTTTTTACTATAATTTATAAAAATTTACTATAAAAATTTACTAGAGCCGTCGTTCCAGGGTGTCTAGCTTTTTTTGAAAAAATTAAAGAAAAAAGAGTCACATTTACATTACAATTGACTAAGATTTTTATTTTTTTACAAATTTTGATTTTTCCCGTCCTCGAAGGGTTAAAAACCTACAAATAAACACTTTTTATATAAAAGTCTTGAACATGATTTATTCAATTAAATAATAAAAGTTTGGTTTAATTACTGTAATATATTAATAAAAAATTGTATTATAATGTGTCAATGAATAGTTTATATTGTAAATTAACAATCTATTAATACAACAATTTAAACCAATTATTTTAAAATAACAGTTCAAAAAAACACGACAATTAATTTATCGTTTAATTAATAAATAATTTACCAGTTATTTAAATTAAAAAAAACGATAAAAACAAAATCAGATTGTGAACCAATGGAGTTATTGCTTCTTTTCATGATACTTTTATCAGTGGTTTCGGCAGAAACAAATATCCTTGTAAATCCATCATTTGAAATAATGGATGGCAATAAAGTAAAAAATTGGTCTCTTTCATCATCAGCAACAGTACATACAACGGATAAAAAGGATGGTTTACAGTCAATAAAAATAAAGGGTACGTCAAAATTGGAATATGTGAGTCAAAAAGTGTCTTTGGAAATAGGTTTTCAGTATAAAGTTTGTTGCAATGTTAAATTAGACGCAAATTCAAATAAATTCTTTGCGTTTGCTATTGAAGAATCTTTCAATAACACTTGGATAACTGGATCATACAGCCCGCGATACAATCAAACGAATGGATGGGAAAAATTGTGTTTTAATACGAACACAATCAAAAATGAAACTCACACATACACAAACATATACTACGTCGTTAAAGACACCTCAGGTGTTGCTCTTGTTGATAGTGTATCAGTGACCAAATTTACATCTTTTCTTGAAAATGTCGAAGTGGTAAGTTACAGACAAGAAGTCCATGACTCTCACAAGACCTTTGAAGTATATGTAAAGCAAAATGCATCGTCTCTTATTGATCTTCAACATCTTAAAATAACAGTGTCGATTTTTAAAAGTGGTGTTTTTAAAAAGACTCAAACTGCTTATGCGACTGGTACGGTGACCAAATTTTTGTTTGAAAACGAATTCAGCGTTAAAGGAATTTATGAGGTGACTGCAGAGTTGTTGTATGTGCCTGAAAACACCAAAGAAGTTGTAAAAACAAAATTTAATCGAGTCATTGATAAACAACAGAAATACACATTTGATAAATATGGAAGAGTTCTTGAGAATGGAGTACCCATACTACCCATTGGTATGTATTACTCTTCAATAACAGAAGATGAAATGGACCAACTTATAACAACACACATCAATATAATGATGCCTTATGGTCGGCCGTCAATCAAAATATTGGATTTAATGAATTCGAAATATGGAGAACGATTAAAAGCGCTGATAACAGTAAAAGATTTATACTCTTACAATTTAGCGTCTTGTAATGTCACAAAGGATTATTATAATGTGGAATACAAAAAGTTGCTAACGTTTATAGAGACGTATAAAGATCATCCAAATGTGTTTGCGTGGTATGTTGACGACGAAACTCCATTGTGTGGAATTGATGAAATGACCAATTTGACTATGACTATTAGAGATAAAGACCCCGATCATCCGTGTTATTCAGTATATTATCAGTATTTGGATACCGTGCAATACCTCCCGTCTTTTGATGCGTTTGGTCTTGATATATATCCAATCAACGAATCTACAGTGTATTCTGTGTATAATCTTCAAAATAAAATAAATAATGATGTTATGGGAACACGTTCCACTTGGCCGGTAATACAAGCAATGAACTGGATGTCGTACGCCCTCAAAAACCCGGAAAAATACGGAAACAGAAACACAAGAGCACCAACATTGCAGGAGTTGCGAGTGATGAGTTGGTTGGGTTTTATTGGAGGCGCAAAGGGGGTGTTTTATTATTCATATTTCGATTTTGTGTATATGGACGATAAAGGTGATCCTTTTATGAACAGATGGTTTGATTTGACAGTCGCAACAAACGAAATTTATAACATGAGGGATGTCATCCTTTCTGTTGAAGAAACGTCACAATACACCGTGGAGGTAGAGACGGATCGTGTGTTGTATTTGAAAAAAAGAGTAAAGAATTATGATTATATTATTATTGCAAATGCAGACGAAAAAGAAAGCAGAAGCGCTACTGTTTATCTTCCAAATAATAAATGTGAAAGAATAATGGGAAATGGAAAAATCGATAAAACTGAAGAAAAAGTCAATATTAAATTGGAACCAATTGATGTGTTTATATTGAAAATGGAGTCGGCCTCTTTAGGCGTTGTTGTGTCATTTGCATTTTTAATTTTGTTCGTATTTTGATCTGAAAGTTCATTATTTAATGATACAATTTGTTCCAATTTTCGTTTTTTTTGAATTATTACTGTTTTGATAAAAATTAGTGCAAGTTAAGCAAAAATGTGGTGGCTAAGTAAAGTAATTTTTCAGGAAGTCACCCTATATTTAATCTAAATTATTTAAAAAGTTTTGGGATAAAATTTTCAAAAATTGTTAAAAAAAAGTAGTATTGGATTGTCTACAAGTTAAAATGATAAACAATCAAAATATATTTTATTTTATGTTAGTCGATTTACATTCACATAGACTTAAATTTGATGTAAAAATAACTCAGATTGTTGGATTTTGAAATAAAAATATAATCCTGAAATTTGTTTTGTCGTTCCTGTTGTTTTTTTTAAATATGAAAAATATTTAAAATAAATAAAAGTGTTATTACAGTAGAAATTCTATCGGTGTGTGATTCCATCGGTGTGTGGTTTTGACCAATCAAAAGTGACCTACACACCGATAGAATATAATGATTTCCCACACATTTGGCACCAAACCCCGCAAAAATAATGTCAATTGCAATTTTGTTTTTATTTTAAAAGAGTAAAGACTTGGTAATAAAAACTTAAAAAGAGAAAAATTATCAAACAAAAATAAATTCAAAAAAGATAACAAAAGAAAAGCAGAAAATGCTCCTCTCAAAATATCAAACTTTAAATGATAATAAAAAATGCACCGACTTCCACACACCAATCACAAGAGCACGCTTGTGATTGGTGTGATGACAAAATTGATACCACAAAACTTAACAATTTCAGCAAGGAAGTCACAGATATTTACGACACATGCATACAACCAGCCAGGCGTGCTCATCCAAGTTTTCGAGGGCGAGGCATCTATGACATCACACTGCAACCTGCTTGGAAAGTTTGGGTTGTTTGGTATCTTATTAGCACCACATGGAGTCTCACAGTTGAAGTCACATTTGACACAAATGCAAATGGAATATTAAACGTGTCGGCTGAAAACGAGACAACAGGAGAAAAAACTCTCAAAGGCACAGGTGGACAAGATGGTTGCAGACGCAAAGAAGTTCAAGGCGGAGGACGGCAAGATGATAACTATTGAGGCTAAAAATCGACACTAACTTGCTACTGTGTAATAACACAGTGAACAAGCAAATTTTTTCAAGGTTATCAACAGAAGATAATGCAGCAATCGAGGCTGATGTCAAAGACGTACTTGAGTTGTAAATTGACAAGAATCTGCACCAAAAGTCCATTTGTTTAAACAAAAACACAATGCGTTGTTCTTATTCTAAACAACTAAACAATTTAAAAAATCACAATATTATTTTATGTTTACACGTGTCGCGTTTTTTTCTCAAAAAAAACAAAAAAATACATTTTGTCATTTTTCTAGATTGTGGATAGTTTTACAAATTTCATTATTTTTTAGTTTTTTTGCCAGAAATAAAAATAGAAAAGAAAAAAAATTTACACACCTTGGGAAAACCATTTTCATAACTCCACACATCGATAGAATTTTTACTGTAGTGTAAAAATAATATTAGCATTAAAAAAAAATTAAATTAACAAACTATATTTTGAAAAGAATAAATAAAATTTGTTATTTTATAAATAGAAAGTGTTCGGATTCAAATGTTTTTAATTAAATGGAAAATTTTGTGAGAAAAATTTGGGTTGTGTCTTGTACTTTTTAGTTCTGTTTTTTTTTCAAGTTGGGTTTGTAAAAAAACATAAAAATAAATGTAACTTGATTTTGGCAACTTATTACCAAGATCCTAATACATAATTGATCTTATATTCGAGAAGTTGTGTCGCCTATCTTTATAACCAACCAGATTCACAAATAAATAAAAGAAAGCCACAAAAAAATGTTAAATTATTGTTTTCAAAAATAAAGAAAAAAAATACTTGCATATTATTTTTTTTACATTGAATTTCATACGTTGGCTAAATTTTATACTATTCTCTTCAGGCAACAAGTTTTATTGTTTAAATTAATAATATGTTGATTAATATTTAATAAAATGATAAACAGATATAATAACTATGTTATGTTATTTTGAAATTTAAGTAATATTTAATACACTTTTATAATAATTCAATTTAATTAAAAAAACTAAAAAGAGCCGATTACTCGTAAAAAGTAAGACTTATTATTCAACTGTTACGATTTTAATATAACACAAATAAATGAACTGTTATAATTACTTTAACATATTAATGTCGTAAACAATGAAACGTTTAAAGTTTTATTCGTCAAAATATATCAAAAACTTGCAATTAAAAAGACTTTAGCATTAATCATTATGTGTAAAAATGCAGACCACAAATTCAAAACAAAAACATTTTCAATGCAAGCAGTAATAACTTTGGAAACACTGTAGTTATTAAATTACTTTAATGTGTCTGAAACATTGGAGCATTCATAAAAGCCTTTTAATAGATTCAGAAAACAATATTGCCAACGAGTCGGATTAATTTCGCCTTTTTAATTTTCGCCTTTTTATTTTTTGCCTTATTTTCTTCAATAAAAATTCAACAAAATGTAAAAACATTTGAAATATAAAAATATAGAAAAATAAAATTTACAAAAAAATAAAAAACTATATATATTAATATCTTTTAACAATTGATACAATAAATACACAAAACTTATTTATTTTTTGTATTTTTTCATTGCACGTTTTATTTTTTTCGCTTTCTCATAATCACTTACTCTTTTTTTCTTTGGTTTTTTTTTGTTGTTAATTTTTTCTTTTTCTTTTTTGGATATTTCTTTTTGTTTTTTTATTAACCATCGATCTTTTACTGTTTATAATTAGTTGAGCATTTTCATTTTCTTCCATTTCCATATCAACATTTTGGTTTTCTTTATCGACTTCAATTTTTTCCTCAAATAAAACACAATTGGTTTCATCTGAATAAACACTTTCATTATTATCTGTTTCATTTAAATACCCCAAAATTTGCATGTTTGTTATCAAATCATTTTCTTGTTCAACTTCAATTTTTGCACATTCAGAGTCCAAATCAAAGTATATTTGCATTTTCTTTTTTGAAAGTTATTTTGTACATTTTTCTAAAAAAATAATAACATCAATTTTGTTTTCTCCAAACAACTCTTTTTGAAGTTCTGATAAAGTAACGTTTTTTTCTATCATTTGTAATTTTTGTCGAGTCTTTTCCAATTCTTTTTCAAACAAATAAAAATGCAAATCTATAGATTTTTGGAATGAAAACAATTTATCTAAAAATTTGTGTATTGGGGGATGTGGGATACAAACAAATCTGTTTAGAGAAGAATGAAAGCTCTCTGCCCGATTGTTGGTTCTTTCTGAAAGACCAAATACTGACCAATATTTCATTTTGAATACTCCATATTTATAATTTGCTTCAAAGTAATTTAATATTTGTTTCACATCATCATCATCATCATGCATTACATAATCTTTTATTTTGTTGAATGCGTTTTTAATCATATTAATTGGAAGATAAGCAAGCGCCATCAACATTTTAACTATTGTTTTAAATATGTCGCCATTTTTGAAGCGATTTGAAAGTCCGAGTGTTATTACTCTGCGATAAATAGATTGACACAAATGGAAATGACAACACTTCACTATCACTTCGTCGCCGAAAATATCCTTAAAAAACACAATTTCAAAATCACCCATTATAACTACATTTTTGTGAAATAATGGATAGTTGCATATTGTCTCTATTTTTTGAAACAGGATTTTGTACTCATTCTTTGACTTGGATGTTAGGCAACAATAAAATATGGGAAAAGACTCGTTATTTTTAAGTCCATGGATCGTATATAATTGCTGAAAAAGTTCTAAAATTTAATAAAAACACAAATTTTGATTAAATGTTATTGTATATTTTACTAAAAACTTTATTTATTATATATATATTTTAACAATTAAATAATGTTTATAATTTGAACAATAAATAATTTTATATATTATTAATAAAAAAATGTTTATAATTAAATATAGTTTATTTATTAAAATTAAAACTATAAAACAAATAATTGTTACTTTTTTACAAATATGTAACAAACTTGGGCACGACTTGAATGTGCCATCCATCAAAATGACACTGCATTGTGTAATAAATTCAAAATATTCTATTTTACCAAAAATAAGCATTTTATCATCTCTGTATAATAACATTTCTTGTTCTTTTCTAGTAAATCTAATTTCAGAAATAGTTTTGGGATTATCTGAACTATTTTTTGTTGTATATACAATATGTTCACATGCCGATAATCTTTTGGAAGACCCAGTAATAAAAGCTTCAGCTACAATTTCTTTTGTAGTTTTTAATTTGGAACTTTCTTTTGTTGATTCACTTTTCAAATTTAAAACACATTTTTATCGAAATATGCAGTAGAATCGTGGTCGTGTGGTAATCCTTTAAATTTACCAATATCCTCATATCCAATAGGATTTCCAGAATTATCGAAAAGCAGTTTAATTCTTTTTTTGCATTTTTCATAATCACATTTAAAGATGATTCTTTCTTTATCTACTGATCTATACTTATATCCATCTACGTATGGTTGTTTTTTCCCTTTGTTTGAGTCAATCATTTCAAAATTTGGTGGAACAACTGGGGTTTTGATATCCATTGATTTTTATGTTTATCTTTTAATTGATAAATAATATTGATCTACTTTAATATAAACTATTTTATAAGTTTTAAACCTAATGTGTTACATAAAAATTATATTAAAAAAAATAATTAAACTTGTTATTATTTATAATGTATGATTAATACACATGTTTAATAATATTATTTGTTTAATTTAACAATTATATATCAAAAAATTAATTTGTGTTAAATATAAATTATTTTTCTATATTTTTATATTTCAATACATTTTACATTTTGTTGAATTTTTATTGAAAAAAATAAGGCAAAAAATAAAAAGGCGAAAAATAAGAAGGCGAAAAATCATTCTCCCATTGCCAACGAGTGTGTTATTTTCTAATAATAACAAAAGCATCATCGGTACATAAATTTTAATTAACATTTACCAGGACTTTATTGTTTCATTCAAAAACCTCATTTTTATTTTTGGAAATAACAACTGTCTATGCGAATATAAAAAGTTCTTTCAACAATAGTACTTTGATTTTTTGTTTAATCAAGACGACAAAATATTGTGCAAGAAATGCTTGGCGACAGTTTAATACTTGCTGTTATATATAGTTAAGTACGTTGGAAAAAAAACCGTTACGCATTCAAAATGACAGTAAGTTGTTACATTTTTATTGGAAATAGCAGTACAAAACAATGTGAAACACTTTTAAGAATAACAATATCATATTGAACTTCACTTGCCTCGTAATGTTGGAGACAAAATTTTGGCGCGCATTGAGCATACGTTGTTAACCCAACAGCAAACACAACACGTTTTGAAGAAAGTGGGAATAATGGCGAACATAACACAACTAAAATTAACCAATTTATTGATAAAATTAAAACATGACCTCACCACGTTTGCTTATTATAAAGTACAAGAAATTGTTACGGCGATGACAAATTTCAAATTTGTAATTATAATTTAACGAATAATCGACAAAGGTGTAATAAACATTCAACAATTAATGTAATATTTTTTATTTTATACACAGAATATTTTATGCAGAATTCTTTACACAG